TCCATTAATGGCAATATTCTTCCCTATTCGTCCTCTCTCCCCTATTCCTTCACTTTTTTTAGTTTGTTTTTTAGGTTTTCAGAGCAATGTCCAAATATCTCGGAACAAGCTCTGCAATCGTCATTCACCTATCTTCCTCAAAGAGTCAGTTCATTATTTACCTATCTTCTTCAAAGACCCTGTTTGGATGGATTTATGGTGTTCTAGTAATGATGAAAATGGTGAAAGTGTTTTGGTGATGGAAGGGATTGGTGAAAATATAAAAGAAAAGGCTAAAGAAATATAAAAAATGAGAAAAATATATATTTGATGAATTTTCCACGTGTCAAATGCGTGAAATTCACATACCACCATAGATCTGGTTATGGCTTTTTAAGGGTATAATTATTTCATTTTTAAACAGTTCAGGGGGTGATAGAACTTCCGTAAAGTTTAAGTGTATAATTAGAAATCCAAATATACATTGAGGGGGCATTTGGCCATTTTCTCTAATACATCGACTAATGCTACAAAAGCTCTTGAATATGGGGTTCATATGAAGCATTTATCAAATGACATGTTAAATATTCTTTTCAATTTAAAATAATTGATGTTTTAACTTTTTAAAGATAATTTAAAATAATTAATATTTTAAAAAATTATCTCGACACATTTCTAATTCAATGTACCGTAGTCCCATGTTAATTAGTGAGTACTTTCTCTATTTCATATTAAATAAATTTTTGGAGGGGTTTAAACTAATTAAATTGTTCTAAGTTCAAAATAGTTGTTTGATTTTTTTTTTAGATATATAAAAAATTATAAAAGAACAAATTACATTAATCAAAACTTAATAAAAACAGAGAAGGTTGAAGTACTACTCGCCTTTTAACTTAGTTCATTTCAGATTAATTAATTTTTAGGTTGGTCAATGACAAATTATTTATTAATTCAACCAATTTATATATATGTTGATTTATTATAAAACGTTCCGTTTTTACTTTTAAGTTCATCTTATAAAACCAATATTGGTTTAGGAAGGAAATTAAGCAATAATCGATTAAAGTGATTTTTAGTTCTCTTCATTGAAAGAAAAAACAAAGTATACCGTATTATTAATATTATGTCAAGTATATTTTATTTTTATTTTTAAGTATAATTAATTTACACTATATTTATTATTATGATATGTATAACTAATAAAATGAAAAATCAAGGTATTCCCAATACAAGTGATTTTAATGTTTGTATTTGTATGAGTAAAAATACAATTGTCCTTCAAAATATTTTTCACGATATTTTTTCATTATATATGTGAAAGATATTTTATAAATAATTAATTTATTTTAGAAATATTCAATGAATATCATTCTTAATACACTAAATGAATCATTTTATTAGAAATACTTTTTATAGAGTTAATATTAGCATAACTAATTATATCATTATTAGGTCAATATTATCAATATACCATATTTATAAAAAAAAAATGGTGATAACAAAAAAATACAAAATACCATTGGCAGTGCCGGTGCCCAATGAGCACCGAGTAGAATAACAGAAAAGGTATCGATAATGTCGAATATGCCCTCAACATTCACAATATATATGCATACACTCTTATTTTTCTTTCCTTCGTCCCTTTTTTACTACTAAGTATTATTATTTTTGGTGTCTCAACAATGGCTTTTTAAAGCTCTGTCACGGTATACACTTTCTTTTTTCTTTTTTATTTTGGGATAACTTTCTGAAGAAAAGAAAAAGATATTCTAATAGCTAGTTTTGACGCTTTATAAGTTTTGGTTTTTTAATGATATTGTTGTATTTTATGGTTTATATTATTTTTAAGTTCTAGTTATAATGTTGAAATGTTTGTGTTTGGTTTCAAAGTTTGTTTTCTTTCTTTTCAGGTTTTACGCCTCATTTGAAGTATTAATTGCGAATGGTGTTATTTTTACTTTCTTAGATAAAATAGATACTCTAATGGATTAAACTGGTGCCTAATATAACTGTTCTATGATGTATTTACTTCTTGTTCCTTAATGTTGGTAGGCCTTAGAGGGAAAAATAAAGTTAAATATGTACATTATACATTGTTCGGTTGTGGAGGTTATATTTTGCTACATTGATTACAAATGCTCTTAAATAGTCAAGCACAAAATTACGCTTAAAAAAATTCAATGATAAATTGAAACATAATTTGATTGGTCAAACTATAGATGGTAGTCACAATATATTTATTAAACGACAACAGTTGCATGGTACAAGAACTTTGAATAAATATAGCTAATGTATAGAATACTCTATAGTATTTAAATTAATCAAGCCAAACTAATTGACTAAAAAGAAATTAAAAGCATATAAACTGCTCTACACTAGCTAGGCTTAATTAATCAGTGTTGTATTTCTTTTCTTGCGGTCAAAGTTTTGTTAACTAAAAAAACTTTAATTAGCATATTGTATTATAGAGCTACACATCTAATTGATGTTTGGACAAAATAACAAATAGTAAGTTGATGCATGTGATAAAAAATAATTCCTTATTTGAATTAGTTGTAGAAGATTATCCGTTCAAATAATCTAGGGTCATAAATTGGTTTCTACCTTCTTGTCTTTGCCTTATGTTACCACAGCCGTCAGCGATTTAATTAATGTAGAAAATATGTAGTGTGTAGGGAAGACCAATTTATAGAGATTATGACTTAATTCGATACGTCTATCAAGTAACCAATATACGGATGAAATCTATTTTTTATTATGGTATTACTTGGGTCACAAGTAAACTTGGACCACAAGTAAATTTGGACCATAAGTAAGAATTATTCTTACACAAATATCCTGCTTCCGATCTGAGAAAGAAAACGGACTAATCTGAATCGGAAGAGCCAAAGACAAAAGTGCGTAAAGAAATACATCAAATTCGAGAAACTAATCTGCTGAAATAGTGGAAAACTTAAACTGATATAATAATGCACTCATAATTATAAACTTAATACTCAGCCACGAGATTATTGTGAAGTATGTTGTAGGTCTACTCCCTTTGTATTTAAAGGTCTACTCCAGTGCATTGAACAAAGATAAAACACTTACGTGTACACTTTTTAAAAGATATTTACGATATTTGTCAATATTATTCTTTTAATCATATATAACAATTTGGCTGAATGACAGTATTGTTAAAAATTGCGAATGATAACACTTTTTGCTAAGTTTAAAAGAACAAAATTGTTTAAATAAGTATTGCTAAAAATTGACAAAAATGGTAATAAATTAAAAGTATACTTAAAAGTGATAATTATTAAATAAAAGACCTTCACTTATGTAATTTGTCCATATTACAATATAACTAGTTATTAGAATATTACAATATGCAGAGTCGTCTCAACAAGATTGGTTGAGGGAGGATATTGAATAATAATAATATACTCTGTGTAATTTTAAAGTGAGTTTTAAAAAGGCAGAAGGGTCTGATGGACCCTTATACTTGTATGCATTTGTATTGTGAACCTTCTACTTAACTTTTTATCAACTGGATCCTTAAACTCAATAAAATTGAATACACTAAATCCCTCTGACGATTGATTATGCTTTTGTGGCATTAAAATAGCTGAGTTGGCTAGAGAGTGTGAATACACACGTGTTAAGACAAGTGTACACCATATTTAAAATTAAAAATATTAAAATTATAAAAGAATTAAATAATTAATTTAAAAATAAAAATAAATAAATTAAAAACCCCTTCTTCTTCATCCCATCCACCTACTTTTTCAGGCATCCCCATCCCTGCTCAACCCCTTTTTTTCTTTCATTTTCTTTAGACGATCTAATACACCGGAGGCGGCAAAGAGTCTCCTGGCATGTTGGTTCGACGGAGGCGGCAAGGAGTCTCCTGCTAGTTCGAGGGAGGCTGCGAGGATAGGCGGTCCTTGGTGTTTTGCAAGCGATCACTGATGGTGCAGAGAAAGAAAGACGGTGAAGGGGAGAACGAGGCGGGTGTGCGACGAGGAGCTGGTCACGACGGGTGAAGAGGTTTGGCCGCCGAAGTTGTGGTGCGGCGGCTTAGATTTGTGGAGGTTGGAGAAGAATGAAAGGAAAATGTAGAAGGTGATCGACAGAGATAAAGATGTGTGAGGGAGAAAGTATTTGTGGTCTCGCCGGCGAGAGGAGTGGTGGCTGTGGCAACTTTCTCCGGCGGATTTTGGCCATTTCACGGCTTGATCGGGTAGAAGACAAGTGGAGACCCAAAATTTACTTTAAAGAATAAATTAATAATTTTTAAAAATAGTTAATACCGATAATTATGATGTGGCATTAATTTAAGTGACATGGATTTGACATGGCATCTATTCAAGAGAGAGAGTGAACTATACACATGGTAAGGGGGGTTTAACAATCATTTTTTGATTGAGTTTAGGGGTTTAGTTGGTAAATGGTTAAGTAGAAGAATTCATAATTCAAACACATACAGATACAAGTATAAGGATCCATCAAATCCTTTTGCCTTTTAAAAACATAAGATGTACGCAAACCTCATAAAATAAGAAGGCAAATACTACAAATTTTCAATAATAAAAATATAATAGAAAGTGACAATAATAAAATCCGACTCAAAAATTTGAGAAATTTATGTAATAATATCGAAATAGTATTGCGTTTGAGAACTTTATATAATGATATTTAAATAAAATTGGCAAATTGCAGTGCTTGAAATTGGAATAAGACACCTTTTTTTTTTTTTGTATAAGTTGACAACAATAGATTTTGCGTAATACAAAATGTCTCGACTATTTAGAAAACTTTAGTATATTCAGTAATAAAAGAATAAAAAGACTTAGGTAAAACGTTATTGTATTTTCTAACCAAGAATTTCTTTTAAATGAGATTTGTTTATTGCTATTAAAAATTATTAATATTAATAATAATAATAATAATAGGTAAATAGAGACGATCTAAAAAGCCCTTTATTAGGGTTCCTACCTACTTGCAATATTCATTTATGTAACAGAAGGACATACAGGATGAAAGAAGAGAATCAAAGCACTGCTGGGGATAGACAAGAGCAAGTTTATTACTTTCTAGTTAATTAAATGCAGCAGGGGATAGACAAGAGAATAATAGTTTTGAAGCTATATTTGAAGCCATGAACGGGTGCAACATTGGAGACTTTGTAATGGCTATTCTATTAGCATTACCGGTGAAGTCACTTTTACGTTTTAAAAGTGTGTGTTGGTCCTGGCATGACTTAATCCTCTCCCGCCGCTTCATCACGATCGAGCCAAGCGCAGCAGCTTGATATGTTTCTACAACGACAAGAATGTCAGTAGGAGAACAACATATAACAGCGTTTCAGTGTCTGAAGATGGAACCATTACCCCTTTATCTTTACCTCCTCCTACTCTTTATGAAAGACATAAAATTTACGTGGCAGACTCTTGTAGAGGTATGGTGTATGCTTTTCGTCTGGATTGTGCCCTAAATCAGTGGTGGTGTGGAACATTGCTGCAAGGAAGTTCAGGACTTTCCATGGCATTAATTACTGATAGAGCACCACATCCCAGAAATCATATTACGATGCGGTCTAATCGTGTGGTGAGTGATCTAGCTACAGGTTTCACCTTCCTTCCCATCTCCACCGAGTACAAGTTGGTTAGGGTCATTCTCTACTTTAACAATACCGTGTATATTAGAATCACCAGGTGGAATAGTATGACGACGATATTCCTCCCAGCAAAGGAAATGGACATGGACATGGATGCCAAACTCCATCATCTGATCCTGATGATGATAATGAATTATAGCTCCATCCGCCCTGCTTGTTTAGCATATGTTAAATTTTTTTAATTCAAACAAAATTTAAGGTGCTCTAAAGATACATGAAGTTCATCATGTGACAATATTCAAGTCACATGTTTATTCTAGTGAAGAGCATATTTACTATGTGCCTCAAGAAAAAAAGTACATGTGAAAGAGAGATGAGCTGAACAAGAACAAGTCCAAACTGCATGAAAGAGGACAAGGGCATTAAACATCGTAACCAGGGTTTACTTTCTGCTGAACATCCCCATAACTCTGTAATTCTTCTATATCTTCCGAACTACCCAAAAATAGAGGAAGTCTTTGGTGTAGCTTGACAGGCTGAATAGATAAAATTCGATTTTTACCATCTGAACCTCTACCTCCAGCCTTTTCCACTAAGAAACTCAAGGGATTTGCTTCATAAACAAGCCGAAGGTGGTTCCTTGGATTCATTGCTACCCCACCATATAACAGAGTCCGATGAAAATCAGCCACTAGAGAACATATATACCTGGCTGAGTACTTCTTAGGATATTGTCCTTTCCCTTGTCTTATGGTGTCAATATACTGCCTTAATCCTTCAGGCCAGTCAAAATACCGAGCATCATTAACTGAGTATATTTGCCCTGCCATAAAATGTTAACAATGTAATTATCAGTTTAGAAGGTGTAATATGCAAAAGCATATTTGGAGGAACAAACTTATGATATAGCAATACCTCGAGGAGGAATGTTGATGTTAGGATGTGTCATGAGGAAATCTCCGGTTGTATGATCCAATGTGAATGCATGTGTTCCAGAACCAAAACTAGCACAGAGTATTGTGGCTGACGAATAGAGAATATAAGCTGCAGCAACAAGCTTTGATCCACTCTGAAGGCAGTTTAGTAAAGCCTTTTCCTCCACCGGCAAATGATCAATTTCCACAAGACGTCTGTAAATCCCAAATATCGTTCCAGTGGGTATTGAGGCATCTATATTTCGGGAACCATCTAAAGGATCCATGACGACCACAAACGGGCCATCATCAGTTATCCACACAGGACACTCATCTTCTTCTGAGGCCATTACAGCAACTTTTCCCGAATTTCTAAGAGACGACAATATAACTTCGTTCTGAACAAACATACATAAAAAGGTCTTAGAACATGAGACTATTCTTGGATCCATTAAGACTAGAGAAGACACAATGATCTACTTCCTAATTCATTAATAGATGATCCTACAAACAGAAAAAGGAGGAAAAAAAAACCAGAACTGCATACAACCTATAACATCAATCAATCAATAATTCCTCAATCCCAATTCCACTTTATTGGGGTGCACTATGTCGGGTGTATTGTGGGATTCCATTGGCTATGTTATTGTTGTTATATTATTGCTTATAATAACATGGAAATCCTATAGATTATGAAAACAAAAAATTACAGAAAAGCAACATCAACAATTTATATATATCAAATAACCAAAAATTCGCGAAAGACAGACCGAAACAATATCAAGAGGCTTGGGTTTATCTCTATCAGAAGAAATCCCAGTATTTCCAATGGCAACATTGTTGTTGAGGCTGGAATTGAAAGGGGAAGCAACAAGAGCAGCAATTTTCTTGGAGGCATATTCTAAGTGACCAAACAATAACACCAAGTCATCACCCACACCAACCCCTCCTTTACCCATGTACTCCATCAGTGTTGAAAATCCACTATTTGCAGAATCTACTGAAGCATTTTTACAACATATTGCAATTGGTGAATCAACCCTGGAGTTAATTAACCCTCCAGAAAATGGAGAAGAAGCCATATTTTCAGTACAGAAAGGTACAAGATTGTAGTTTTGAGGAAAAATTGCAGGGTTTGGTGAGGAGAGTTTGGTTCTTGCTGGAAAATTTAGGGAAGAAACGGTCGATGATAGCATCTTTATGCTCTTGGTACAGAAGAAGCATCCTGTTTTTTATTTATTTTTTATTTTCGTCATTTATCCGCAATTCTTTTCCTTTTTTTTCCCTCTTTTTTCCTTTTTTTTTTTTTCCGTCCATATTCATTGTTACGTAATATTGTTAAGAATTAAATTATATTATGAGGTATACATTTATAATTCATTAAAAAAATGATTTTAATCAAATATAATTCCTTTTTTTCTCCTTTTTGAGATTTTTTTCTTAATTCTTTTCATTAAATATTTTTTTTATTAAATAAAAAATTCAATCATATTTACTATTCTAATTATACCTAATGAGTTACAACAAAACCACCATCTATTCATATTCTCTACTCAAATAACATGACTATTCAACTCCTTTCTAACCATTCTTATGGATTATCAAATCTATAAATAACGATCATTCATGGAGATAGTGAATATTCATTTTTGCATTTTCTCATTATTAGTGTAGTTTTAGTTTTTTTTTTATTCTTCATCTTTTTCACAAGAAATTATAGAAACGATAGTGACATGATATGTGCTTCACTTTGATGAAGATCAATAATAACTCTTCAAAGATTCATTACAAAGAGATGTTCACATTAATTTAGTACAAGTTCATCGAAATGAAGAAGGAAGCTTCATTATGTTGAAAGATTCATCGATAATCATAGAAGTATAAAGTTTGAATGTTTTTCAATATTTTAAAGATTCATTAATGTATTATTTTGATTTCAATATTTTAAATTTTTGGCATGGTTGAAAGGTATATTATTTATGGTACATTTCTCATAGCTATTGGATATTGTTGTGCTTAAATATTTATATTTATATAATATAAAGGAGAAAGACAAGGTGATGTGACACCTCTTTATAACCTCCATTTATATTTATATTTTTTTCTCCTTTTTTTCTTAATTCTTTTCATTAAATATTTTTTTTATTAAATAAAAAATTCAATCATATTTACTATTCTAATTATACCTAATGAGTTACAATAAAACCACCATCTATTCATACACTCTACTTAAATAACATGACTATTCAACTCCTTTCTAACTATTCTTATGGATTATCAAATCTATAAATAACAATCATTCATGGAGATGTTGAATATTCGTTTTTGCGTTTTCTCATTATTAGTGTAGTTTTTTTTTGAGCAACTTTCACATATAGCAAACACAAAATTCATATTTGTATGTTATAGCAAAGTTTGCATAATTGCACTCCATAGCAAATATAAATATGTATATTTCGCTATACATATACAAAAAGATCAATTGTATAAAGTGAGAGAGGAGAGTGAGAGAGGCGAGTGAGCGAGCGAGATTTGGGAGAGTGGCGAGCGAGATCTGGGAGAGGGGAGAGAGGGGAACGAAAATATATGTATATATACAATTTTCACGCATTTTATACATTTGC